TAATTTGTTTTCTGGAGCACAACATAAATAAAGGTGCACACGATTACCCTCAACCGCGTACAATCACGCACCTACCTACAGGCTAGCTCAGCAAGGGATTGCAAAGCAATCACAGCCCATTACCTGGCAGCCTGTTGCAGCAGCAGGAAAGGGCAAGGAAGCAGAGATGTGGTGGGAAAAGATTACAGAGCCGTGAGTGGCAGATTGTGGATATACGCCTATCAATGGCTACTAGTCCTGACGGCTAAATGCTGGCTCCAGGACGAGAGTCACACTCTTCCTAATAAGCAGCAGTGACTCTTGTTGAGCATGGAGGAGCTCCTCTGCCCCATTCGGCCATGCAGGAGCGTCCAGTCCAAGCACTCCTGATCAATGACCACCATCCAGCCTTTGTTGACAAATCTCCAGAGAATACGAATGCAGTATTCTTCACTCTCAAGCAGTTCGTACTGTCAGGAAGTTCTTCCTAATATTCACATGGAATATTTTTTTTCTTGCAGTTTGAACCTTAGCAGCTTTCTTTAGCCAATGTTTCTGGCACCATGTCCCATTAGGCTTCTAGTTCAGAAGCCAGTGTCTTGGAATGGCCTCTCACCTGCAACCTACCTATGAGAAAAGGGTCATTTTTCTGTGTCTTGGGGAGACAGCTGTCTAGAAGTTCTACTATCAGCCTATCCCAAATCAATTTGTGTTGTTGAATGCTTTCATGGCCAGAATCACTGGCTTGCTGTGAGTTTTCCAAGCTGTACGACTATCTTCCAGAAGCATTCTCTCCTGACGTTTCACCCACATCTATGGCCGGCATCATCAGAGGCTGTGAGGTCTGTTGGAAACTAGGCAACCAAGGTTTATATATCTGTGCAATATCCAGGATGGGAGAAAGAACTCTTGTCTGTTGGAGGCAGGTGTGAATGTTGCAGTTGGCCAGCTTGATTAGCACTGAATGGCCTTGCAGCTTTAAAGCCTGGCTGTTTACTAAACGGTTTAGGACCTGCCTATCTGCATGCCCACCTTCTCCCCTACGGGCCCACACAGTCCTTAAGATCTTCCGGGGATGCCCTTCTCTTGCTCCCACCCCCGTCTCAGGTGCGATTGGTGGGGACGAGGGAGAGGGCATTCTTGGTGGTGGCCCCCCTGTCTCTGGAACTCCTTCCCTAGGGAGATTAGGCAGGCACCCTCCCTAGCCACATTCCGCAAGGAAATAAAGACGTGGATGTTTCGTTGTGCCTTCGACTGATGACCCCTATGACAAACTGCCACCCCAGATTTCAGGTTTAGCTTATAGTCTAGGAACCACCAGTGTTGCAATGGGTTAAACCCTTGTGCCGGCAGGACTGAAGACCTACAGGTCGCAGATTCGAATCTGGGGAGAGTGCAGATGAGCTCCCTCTGTCATGCGGGGACATGAGAGAAGCCCCCCAACAAGGATGGTAAAACATCAAAACATCCGGGCATCCCCTGGGCAACGTCCTTGCAGACGGCCAATTCTCTCACACCAGAAGCGACTTGCAGTTTCTCAAGTCGCTCTGACACACACACACAAGGGTATTAGGACCCTTGATCCTTTTTGCATGTAGTTACCAAGCCAGGGGTTGTCTCTTTGATATTCCTGCACTTCATTTTTATTGTCTAAACATGGTGCTTTACATTCACCAATGTTGAAATTCATTTGTGCACTCACATAAATTGTATTCATTGGCGTCATTCCTTTTAACATGAGAGGTTATATGGCGATGACCGAAAGGCAATGCTGCATCCTTCCCGCATCTTCGCTACAAGCTCTCCAATCCCAGAGCTCAGTGGCAACACTATCCAGTTCGCAACTAAGACCCACATTGAACTGCAGCTCACGAAACCATCCTCACGCTGCTGGATTGGGACATTTTTCTTTGATCTCACCAGCTACTCTACTCCGTTTCTGCTGCTCAGAACTCCAAAGAGAGTGATATTTCCTCTAATCCTTTTATCCTCGGCTCCTCGGTGCGGCACCTACGGAAAATGTCAAGCCCTTGGCAAGCTGAGCTCTATGCAGGGCGGCAGCTGGCTGAAAACAGGAAGGGAGGCATCCCAGCGCCAGCACACTTTTACGGCCGTTTTCTCACAGACCGTCCCAGAAGGCTTCCAGATGTCCAGTGCCCTCTCTCTGGCCGAAGGATGAGGCTGTCAGACTCCCAGAGAGATGGGGTTCATAAGGAACGAGAATAGACGAGGTAACTCCCAAAATAAAACACAAATAGAAAAAAAACAACACACTGGTTCAAAATCGGGAAAGGAGTGTGGCAGGGCTGTATACTCTCACCCTGCCTATTCAACTTGTATACAGAACACATTATGCAATAAAGCAGCAATAGGAAACGTTACCAGGCCAATTAGATTTGATGCAGATGACCAAGATGGTTTTAAATAGTGTATTTTAATACTGAGATAATTTTTTTAAATGTTTATATATGACGTTCTGTCATGTGCTGGGCCTGTAAAGAATTTCCTTTAGAACAGGATGTGCAACCTTTGTCCAGCGGGAAGCCAGGGACCCCCAAAGAGAAGTTCTCAGAGGTTTTCCACCACAAATAGTCTTTAGATGGCTTGTGAAGTATAACAAAGTCTTTTATTAATGAACAATCAAACAGAAACTTCTCTTGTCTTCAGAAAGTTAAACAAATGATTCCAAGCTTTTAGGCAACTGGTGAATTCCTAATCTTGCCCATGAAGGACAGGTAACCGTCTTCAATAACTTCTTCTTTACTTTAAAGGAAAATCCCCTTTTTAACTTCTCACAGGCTGACTGTAATCTAACCCTTACTGATGTGGGCTCTGCTACCAGGTCGAACTGCATCTCGAACGCCGAGTGGACCTACCAGTAAGGCAGTAGACTCTTCAGCTGGAGTTCTTTGGTCTTTAGGGCTGTTTCCCTGGAAATCTTTGGAGACTCTTAAAACTGTTTTCCCCCGGAAGGTCCTCAAAGCTTTGGGGAGGCTTCCCTGGAGTTCTCTGGTTTGCTCTTAAGACTGTTTCCCCCCGGAAAGTCTTAAGGGTTGAAGCTTTTGTACAGGGGAAGATTGCACATATCCGCTAAATTAGCTTTCCTTACTGAGACTAACTAAAAAATGGCTCCCTTCCCTTCCCAATTGCCCTGAGCAAGGGGCGGGACCAAAACTTAACGATGGTGGACAGGTGACTTGCCCTATAACTGCAACCAAAGGAAGCCACCTTTCTGCAGAATCCCAGGAACCTTGGACTGCAAGCAAACATTTAACACAACGCAAATAAAGGTGGAGCTCCTGGTACAGCCATACCAACATATATGAATAGAATGAATTTTTGTTCCGGCATTTAATGTTTGCCGTATATATACTGTTCTCCACCCTAAGTCCCCTTCAGGGTGAGAAGGGTGGAATATAAATGTTTTAAATAAATAAATAAAGCAACGTGCAGGGCTTGATGAATCTAAGGCTGGAGTTAAAATTGTTCGACAAAACATTAATAGCCTTAGACATGCAGATGATACCACTTTGATGGCCAAAAGCGAGGAGGAGCTGAGGAGCCTTCTAACCAAGGTGAAAGAAGAAAGTGAAAAAGCTGGGTTGCAGTTAAACATTAAAAAAACCAAGATTATGGCAACCAGACTAACTGATAACTGAAAATAGAGGGAGAAAATGAGGGGGCATTGACAGACTTTGTATTTTTAGGCGCAAAGATGACTGCATATTCAGACTGCATCCAGGAAATCAGAAGATTTTTAATGTATTGTCGAAGGCTTTCATGGCCGGAATCACTGGGTTGTTGTAGGTTTTTTCAGGCTATATGGCCATGTTCTAGAGGCATTCTCTCCTGACGTTTCTCCTGCATCTATGGCAAGCATCCTCAGAGGTAGTGAGGTCTGTTGGAAATAGTTTCAACAGACCTCACTACCATGCTTGTGATGGTGGTGGGAGCGAAAGTAGGGCCTCCTCGGAAGATCTTAAAGTTCGCGCCGGTTCATAGAGGGAGATGCAATTGTGAAGATAGGCGGGGCCCGAAACATTTAGGGCTTTATAGGTTATAACCTGATCCTTGAATTTGGCTCGGCAACTTATCGGCAGCCAGTGAAGCTGTTTTAAAAAGGGTGTTGTATGTTCCCTATGGTTTGCTCCAGCAAAGAGCCTAGCTGCTGCCATTGTACCAGTTGAAGCTTCTGGGCTGTCTTCAAGGGCAGCCCCATGTAGAATGCATTGCAACAGTCCAATCTGGATGTAACCATGGCGTGGACCACGCTGGCTGCATCTCCATCCCTCTCACCCCGCCCTTCCAAAAACCGAAACAAAAGCAACATCTCTATGAGTCTAAAGAGCAAAATCTTAAAAGAGAGACAGAGTGATAATTTCCAGTCCCCTTTTCCATCAAGAGAAAACTGCCTTTCACTCTGGACGGACTCCGTCAATAGCTTCTAGTGAAAAGTAACCGTATCATCACCTGTTTCCCATTTCACATCCTTGTTTAATGAGTACGTAATTAAGAGCCCGAGTCGTCCGCCATGTGCCTGAGGTCCAAGGAGGAGGGAGAGAACCTCCCAATAGATCTTGCCTTGCAGTTACGTGAATGAACAGACAAGTCCCAGTCTGTGTGGCAAAGATGCATCGCTGCCCTCCCCTCCCCTGCCCTCCCCCATGGCATCCCCTTGAACCCTGCGCTGAAAAGGGAAACTTCTCACTGGCCACTTAAAGGGTGTTAATGAGGAGCCGCTCATTAGCACGGCAATCAAAGTTGCCTTGGTTATTAAGATAGCTAAATCTGCCAGCTGCCCAGCGGGGATGAACCGTTCAATTCTCCGGTTCTCCATCACTCCCCAGCTGCTTTGATTTCCCCCTTTTTTTCCCTCCTTCATTTTGCTTCCCATCACACTGGCTGCTCTCTCTCTCCATGCTTATCTCGATGCCCTCCTCCCACCTTCCCCCACCCAGAATGACCTTTCTGGGAAAGCAGATTCAGCACCCGACAGAAGGGAGAGGAGCCAACCTACTCACATGTAGCGCAGGTGAGGGTTCTTGTCGAACGCACGTGGCTGGATGCTTCGGAGCCCTGAGTTCTTGATTGTCCTGCAAAGGTGGAAAAGGACAGCAATGGAAGAATGGTCAGTGGTGGCCAGGCATGTCAAGGAAGCCATTGCACAAAGCTTGCAAAGAACGAGTGACAAATCATTAGACAGCTTTTAAACAGAGGCTGGATGGCCATCTGTCAGGGGTGATTTGAATGCAATATTCCTGCTTCTTGGCAGAATGGGGTTGGACTGGATGGCCCATGAGGTCTCTTCAGACTCTTTGATTCTAGGATTCTATGATTCTATGACATAGGAAATTGCTATTCATTAAAATTAAGGCATAGGTAAAGGTAAATGTAAAGGCTTCCCCCTAACATTAAGTCCAGTCATGTCTGAATCTAGGGTGTGGTGCTCATCTCCATTTCTAAGCCGAAGAGCCGGCATTGTCAATAGACACCTCCAAGGTCATGTGGCCAGCATGACTGCATGCAGCGCCATTACCTTCCCACCAAAGCTGTACCTTGATTGGAAGGTATTTCCAGACACAGAATCCTAAGAAGAGTTCTGTGTATATAAACCTCACTTGCCTAGTTTCCAACAGACCTCACAACCTCTGATGATGCCTGACATAGATGTGGGCGAAATGTCAGGAGAGAATGCTTCTGGAACATAGCCATATAGCCAGAAAAACACACAACAACCCAGTATTTTTTTAAAAAAAACTCTAGATTCATGACAGTAAATAAAGAACAACACTAAAAAAAACTGGGTGATTTCAGACAGGAAACAATCAGGGCTAGCTAACACATCCCAACAAAAGATTCCCCCAGGCAGGAAGCACCCAGGCTTTGAAGTTGCAAGACTATTCAGTGCTAATCAAGGTGGCCAATTGCAACATTCGCAATGTATTGTTGAAGACTTTCGTGGCTGGAATCACTGGGTTGTTGTAGGTTTTTTTCGGGCTGTATGGCCATGATTTAGAGGCATTCTCTCCTGTCGTTTTGCCTGTATCTCTGGCAAGCATCCTCAGAGGTAGTGTACACTACCTCTGAGGATGCTTGCCATAGATGCAGGCAAAACGTCAGGAGAGAATGCCTCTAGACCATGGCCATACAGCCCGAAAAAACCTACAACAACCTCTGAGGATGCTTGCCATAGATGCAGGTGAAACGTCAGGAGAGAATGCCTCTAGACCATGGCCATACAGCCCGAAAAAAACCTACAACCCTGCAACATTCACACTTTCCTCAAGCAGACAAGAGTTCTTTCTCCCACCCTGGACATTCCACAGATATATATATAAATCTCACTTTCCTAGTTTCTAACAGACTTCACAACCTCTGAAGATGCCTGCCATAGATGTGGGTGAAATGTCAGGAGAGAATGCTTCTGGAAGATGGCCATACAGCCCGGAAAACCCACAGCAACACTATTTTTATTTTCTTTTACAGGAATACATTGTGTGTGGTCTTGATAAACTAAAGATGGGGAAACAGCCTTGGAGGGCTAGGGTTAAATAACTGAAGGTGCTTATGTGGAGAATTCCTTGGGAACACATTTACTTAGTAGGCTGAAGTTTCAGGGAAGTTTGGCAAAGTGGCTTCTTTCTGCTGACCTGCGATCAGAAGGCCAGCACTGCAGTTTCATTTCTGTGTTCTGCCCTAAAGCAAAAGACACTGTGCAGGTGTGGGACTTGGGGACGTTTACATTGTCTGCTGCTCAAGGCAGGAGCTTCACCTTGCCTTTGTTCAAGACCTTCAAAGGTGAGTCATGAGTTTGGAGATGGGTTGGAAAGCAGGCGGACAATAGGAAAGGGCAGTTGTCTGGACTAGAATACACAGCAACAAAAAGGCTCAAATCAGAGTCAGCAGCTTTAAAGAATCAGATAGGGCCCTAATGGTTTCTCTTGTTGTCTAGTGCTTCAGACATGGCATGAATGCAACACTCTGAACACCTTCCATTTTTAAAAAATCGAGAAACTACAAGTTGCTTTCGGTGTGAGAGAATTGACTGTCTGCAGAGACGTTGCCCGGGGGATGCCTGGGTATGTTACCATCTTGTGAGAGGTTTCTCTCATGTTCCCACATGGGGAGCTGGAGCTGACAAATGGGAGCTCACCCTGTCTCGTGGATTCAAACCACTGAACTTCAGGTCAGCAGTTCAGCCAGCACAAGGCTCCTAATAGCTCCATGATTTTGGCAGAATCCACCAAGGAAGGAAGGCAAAGGTACCAGATCCCATCTGATGGGATCACTGGATGGGAGGCTGACAACAAATTCCAAGTGCTGTCGGCTATATTTCAGAAGAAGAATTGCAAAGCCACCTCTGTGTATTCCCTGCCTAAGAAAAACTAGTGAAATTAATGGGGTCAGGTAACTTGAAGGCACATGCATGCACAAGCAGACAATCCATGATTTGAAGGTATTTCTGGACATGGAACCCCAAGAAGAGATAGCGAGGGATTTGCTCATTGGCTGCAAGAGGGATCTTTATGGTGGCTATAATTTATTTTACTTATTTATATTCTGCCATTTATTAGAAACAGGACTGAAGAGGGGTTGGGGTAAAATCTGGAGCAGATTCAGCACGTAGAGATAAAATATATTGAGGATTGTGTTGTCACAGGCTTTCATGGCCGGAATCACTGAGTTACTGTGAGTTTTCCGGGCTGTATGGCCATCTTCCAGAAGCATTCTCTCCTGACGTTTCACCCACATCTTTGGCAGGCATCCTCAGAGGTTGTGAGGTCTATAGGAAACTAGGCAAGTGAGGTTTATATATCTTTTGGCTGGATGCCTGCCATAGATAGAGTCATAGAATCAAAGAGTTGGAAGAGACCTCATGGACCATCCAGTCCAACCCCCTGCCAAGAAGCAGGAAAATTGCATTCAAAGCACCCCGACAGATGGCCATCCAGCCTCTGTTTAAAAGCTTCCAAAGAAGGAGCTTCCACCACACTCCGGGGCAGAGAGTTCCACTGCTGAATGGCTCTCACAGTCAGGAAGTTCTTCCTCATGTTCAGATGGAATCTCCTTTCTTGTAGTTTGAAGCCATTGTTCCGCGTCCTAGTCTCCAGGGAAGCAGAAAACAAGCTTGCTCCCTCCTCCCTGTGGCTTCCTCTCACATATTTATACATGGCTATCATATCTCCTCTCAGCCTTCTCTTCTTCAGGCTAAACATGCCCATCTCCTTAAGCCGCTCCTCATAGGGCTTGTTCTCCAGAAAACAAGCTTGCTCCCTCCTCCCTGTGGCTTCCTCTCACATATTTATACATGGCTATCATATCTCCTCTCATCCTTCTCTTCTTCAGCTAAACATGCCCAGCTCCTTAAGCCGCTCCTCATAGGGCTTGTTCTCCAGACCCTTGATCATTTGAGTCTCCCTCCTCTGGACACATTCCAGCTTAGAGTCAATATCTCTCTTGAATTGTGGTGCCCAGAATTGGACACAATATTCCAGGTAAAGTGGTCTAACCAAAGTGGAATAGAGCATGGGGAGCAGGACTTCCCTAGATCTAGACACTAGGCTCCTCTTGATGCTTGAGGAAAGTGTGAATGTTGCAGTTATATTACTGTTGAAAGGTTATTATGTATCGAAGGGAAAAAAACGAATTAAGCATATTCACTGGAAATCAAGAAATAAAACCAGTACAGTGGGTTCTTGTAGGTTTTTCGGGCTATGTAGGCTAGGCACATTCTAGAAGCATTCTCTCCTGACGTTTCGCCTGCATCTATGGCAAGTGTAATGGACCCGTACCTTGGTAGGCCGAAGCTGAAGCCTAGAAGTCAGTAAGCCAGACTCCATGTTAGTGAGGGAATACAATGAGAGGCAGATCAGCAGAGAGGAGGAGCTCAGCTATCCCAGGATTGGCTAGGACAGATGGGAGGAGCTGGAGCTGGGAGTGTAAAAAAGGCAGGCAGCTTCTGACAGAGAGAGATTGGATTTTTGATCTGAAGGGTAGTGGGTGGATTTCGAGTGAGCTGAAGTTTTCCTGAGGGAGAGTGTTTGAAGGCAGGTGTGTCTAGAGAGAGTGGCCTGGAGGGTCAATAGCCACCTGTGAACTGGTGTGGGTGTTAATACACAAGTTGTTTTTACTCTCTAAGGGACAGGGTATTCTAGGGAAGCTAGATACTCTGAGGGGACAGACAGGATTGGTCTGTCAGAGGGAATTTGCTCACGTTGAAGAAAAGATACCCAGTTGGGGAGTCCAGCAAGCTTGTTAGGCCTCAGAAACCGTTTGAGAAGATTGTGCTGTGATAACCCAATACGCTTGTGTAACTCAATGAAGAATTTAGTTGTTTGTTCCAGTATATAAATAAACTTTGTTCTAGTTCAACTTTCAATAGAGCCTCCACATTGTTTCATTCCATTAGAACTGTTCCAGTTAATTCTAACATCTTTTTTACCTCAGACATTTTAAAGGGAATTAAAGGAAGGGCTGGGGAACAACAAGCTTTACCTCAGGCCTAACCTCAAGATAATTTTCTCAAATCTGTTTGAGTGGTGGCAGTAATTCTACCAATGCACATTCCCGTTTCCTCAACACACATCGAGCTTTGTGATAGGATTGTGTTGGTGTCCAGTTGGAGCCTTAGTAAATAAAATCCTTTACTTTGATCCTTCAAATTGGTGGCCAGCTGTGGGCAATATAACAGCTGAAGGAACATGTGGGTGTGTGTGCTAGGGAATATATTCGTTAAGCATTATTCCCCTGGGTCCTTGGCCACATTACATTGGTGGCAGCGGTGGGATTGAAAGGTTCCCCCCTGTCACACAGGTGCGATAAGAGACCCCTCGTCTCTTGTTCTGGGGGGTTTACATTACAGCAAGCATCCTCAGAAGTAGTGAGGTCTGTACAGCATATAGCACTTTCCTTACAGAGATTTGGTTGCCTAAATCTTGTTGTGAAGAGGACAAGAAAGGGAGAGTCAGCCTAAGTTCTCCTAGAAGGGAGCCTGGAGCACCAGACAAGGAAGTGTTGTTCCGTTCCCTCCTGTGAGGGTGGCATGGCCAAAACAAAGGCCTCCCCAAAAGCTCCCTCAGGCTAATAAGGGGGG